TCAGGGGTGACAGGGTGACCCCAGTGACAGGGTCTGACCCCCTGTGCCCACAGCCCTGCTCACCTGCTGTGTCCTGGGTCCTCCCCTTCCTGCCCCCCTCCAGCTGCCTCTCACTGGTGCCTCCCTGTGCTCTCCTGCAGGACCCCCTGGAGCAGTATGGCATCTCGGAGGAAGCCCGTTTCCAGCTGGGAACACACCAGCAGGAATTCCCTCACCTGGGCTGAGCTGGCTCCTGAGTCCTGAGCAGGCTCCCCAGGGCCACCCCAACCCCTGGGAAGGACAGCAGAGCCCCACAGTGACCAAGGGACTCTTTTATTTATTACCCAAATCATTTTTTATTCTTTTTTTTTTTTTTTTTTAAAGGGAATTTCTTGTACATTCCCACTTCCTCAGCTGGGGAGGCTCCCTTGTGGTGGGAGCAGAACCCCCTGGGATGAGCAGAGGCAGGGGCTGACAGAGCTCCCAGCACCTGCTGTCCTTCTTCCAGGGCCTGGGGCTGCTGGAGCTCCAGCCCTTCTCCTCCTCCTCCTCCTCCTCCCTGTCCCTCTCCTGAAGGAGCTGCTCGGCTTTCCTGCCTCAGGATCCTCCCTCAGTCTCCAAGGAGCCCTTGGGGCTGGGAGAGGTTGCTCTGATCACATCTCTGTGCTCCAGGGTTAACCCCCTGCTGTCCTGCCCTCTCCTGCTCCTGCAGAGCTGTGCTGGGGGCTGATGGCTGAGCTGGTGAGCAGGGAGGGCTGGGAATGCTCCCACTGACGCTGGGAATGCTCCCAGTCACACTGGGAATGCTCAGCCTCTGGCTCTTGCCTTTGGGGGTTTCCCTTCCCCTTCCCTGGGCAGGTGTTGTGATTCCTGGAGCCCCCATCTGAGGGAACAAAGGGAACAGTCGGGAACAGAGACAGGGAGGGATCCCTGGGGGCTCCTGCCCCTCTGCAGAGCTGTGGGCTGAGCTCTGATCCAGCTTCCCAGGGAGGAGAGGCAGATGGAGGGGTTGGCAAAGGCAGGAGCTGCTCCCTCTGGCTGGAGGTTCGGGCTGCAGGGTGTGAGTTCAGACGGGCATTAACCCTCCAGCCCCTGAGCCACGGCTGCAGCTTCTCCCCTCCTTTGGGAATATCCAAAGGGACAGACCAAAAACTGTGCCAGGGTCACTGCCAGGGATCCAGGGCTGTCAGGGATCCAGGGCTGTCAGGGATCCAGGGCTGTCAGGGATCCAGGGCTGTCGGGGATCCAGGGCTGCCTCCCTGGGGCTCCGGGAAGGGTTAAGGAACATCCCCACCCCACCAGCTGTGGCTGCAGGAAGGAAAAGTGCCCAGAGATGAGGGAGGGAGGGAGGGAGGACGTTCCCCACACCCAGGGCTGCAGGACACCCCCATTCCTCACTGCCACAGCAGCTCCCCTGGAAGCAGCCCAGGAAAAGCCCCAGGAAAAGCCCCTGGAGGGTCCCAGGTGACACTGCCGGGGTTGGTGGCAGAAGGAACAGGGTGGGGGCCTGAGCTTTGGGGGCTGCAGCTCTGGGTGCTGTTCCCCTCCAGGGTGGGTGGAGCAGCCTCTGAGCTGGGTTTGAGGGGAAGTTTTGGGTCTCCTCCTCCTTGGCTGGGAATAAATGCCCGAAGAAGAGCTTTAGTGGCCTGGCCTTCCCTTCCCTCTTTGCCTGTCCCTGCTGGGTGCCAGCACAGTGACAGCTGGCACCGAGGCTTTATTTTCAATCTCAAAGCCAAGGTTTTTCCCTTTTCCCTGCCCCAGATCCTCCCTTTCCCTTGAATCATTCCAGGTGCTCCAAAAACTCACCGAAATGAGCTGAGGGGCAGCTGCCCTGCAGGAGGAGCCAGGACAGGGAGCAGGATCCAGGGGGAATGTGCAGATGGCAGGTGGCAGCTCCAGGGGGAGCAGCAAGGAGGGATTAAAGGCAGGAACCCTCAGGAGCTTGTGCTGGAGGGAATTGATGTCCCCAGATGGCTTTGAAGTGCATTTTAATCCTCACCAGCTCTGCTTTCCCTCAGGGCAGGGGCACCCCTGACCTGGAGAGGGGGACAGGGCAGCTTTTACTGTGAAAAGAGACTGGTCTGGTCACTGGGGAGAGGATGGGAAGGCAGATTCCAGGTTGGCAGTGGGATAATGAGCTGGGCTCCCCCACAGCTCCATCCCACAGCCCCTGCCCTGCAGCTCCAAGGGCAGTGCAGCCACACCCAGGCTCAGCTCCGCGCTGGTGGATCCTTCCACGTGCAGCTTGATCCGAACCTCGGGAATCCTGCCAGGCTTGGAGCATTCCCTGCACACAGACCCCTGTCCTGGTGCCGGAGCAGGACCCCCCTGCCACACCTGGGCACCTTCCCCCCCTCACCCTGCACAAAAGGGGCATTTTGGTTGCTGTTCTGGGCCACGAGAGCAAACCCCAGCACTGGTCCAGGAGGCACCAGTGACATTTCTTAATGAATGTAAAACCAACGCTGTGAAGAGTTCCAGGCCCAGGAACTCACTCAGCTCCACTCCGGAGCAGGGCTGGGACACGGGGTGGGGGTTCAGCACTGAGGGGAGATGGTACTTGTAGACAC